TTGGTTGCGAATTTGATAACAGAGACTATTTCGAAGAAGAAGAGAGATATTGCGTGGATCGCGCGCGTAGACCGAGTTTTACGAGAAATATATCGACGCATATAAAGAAAGTAGTGCACAGCGAAATATTACGCGCATACAATCTCATCGACGAAATTTTCAACATGTCGAATCATTGGTGCGAATGGCAACGGTTGCGAAACGAGAACCTTATTTTACATCAAGAAACATAATGAACAAAATACATGGCTTATTAGTATGAAGTCTTTGTGAAGCCATTGAGGAATGAGTAATGGATCGAAAAACAATAAAAGAGCGCGATCTTTTCGATAGCGCGTGGAATGTCTCGATGCTGGGCGCGTATTTTGCGCAACAATGTGACAACTGTCTCGAATTTCTGCGAAAAAAGTGTCGAGGCGAGCGTCGGGGAAGGTTTACTGGAACGATCAATTCTCTAATCGCACGAATCGTTTGATTGGTAGGCACGAGAGATGATCTGCGTCGATGTTTCGAGCGCGTGGGCGGCGGCGTCAAGAGACGCGAAGGATTCTCGTGGTCCGAGATCGAAACGGCTTTCACTAGACGCATATTAAAAGTGGTGCGATTATTAATTTCGATTACAGGGATACCGTGCTCGATCGAGTATACGATCCGTTATAGGTAGATACGACAGCGTCAAGGTCAATACCGCGTTTAATGGTGAGTTTGTCGCGGGTGCTAAAATCGCCGTTAAAACCATCGCTATCCGATCTGCAAGAATGGTATGGGAGGCACGTGGTCGACGCTATGTTAGCCTCGCTGGAGAAGTTTCAAGAGAGCGATAGCGGATGGGCGTTATCGCGAATCCTAAATCTAACGGTGAACATGAACAGATATAACCCTATACGCGCTGGATGTCATGTCGTAATACCGCAAAAGATTAAGTTGAAAAGAGCGGTGGTAAATGTGCGATCTATGGATCACGCGTGTTTCGCGTGGGCGGTAGTCGCCGTTCTATATCCAGTTGAAAGAGATGCGGAAAGAAGCTCGCGATATCCTCACTATTCCACGATGATGAATCTGGAGAGCGTCGAGTTTCCAGTGAATTTGAACAGAATCACTAGATTCGAGCGTCTCAATGATATATGTATCAATGTGTATACCATTCGGGATAAGAAGGACAAGAAAGTCGGCTGCGGTATCGTTCCTCTATGTTTTACAGGTGACAAAAAGGAGAAACACATCAATCTACTGTATTTGAGCAATATGACGCGACACTTCGCGTGTATCAGGAATCTATCTCGTTTCGTTAGCTCGCAATTGAGCGCTCGGCAACATAAAGCGTATATATGCGATCGATAAGTATGAATTAAGAAAAATATATTTGTTATATAGTATAAATATTGTAATGTATATGATATAAAATAAATGGTCGTATTGCAGATGCATGCACTATTTTCGCACGAGCGATAAATTATTGACTTACAGCACGGATTGCGGAAAAATGAACGAGTGCGCGATCTTTTTTCCTACCGAAGACGATAAGTGATTAAATTTTCGCAATTACGATAGAAAAGAGCGACTTCCGTTCGTGGTGTACGCTGATCTGGAATGCGCGCTAGAGAGCAAGAAAGAGGAGAGAACATCGAACACATTCATCGTCCAACATCATAAGGTCTATAGTGCAGAATATTACGTACGATGCGCGTTCAACGATGCTAAATCGACATACAGAATTTATCGCGGTGAGAATTGCATATCATGGTTTGTCCGGGAATTGCGCGTACTGGCGCTTTACGCGAAGAATATTCTCGGCGCCAATGTATCTATGGCGAATTTTATGCCGGAGGAGCGGGAGAGATTCAAGAGCGCGACACACTGTCACGTGTGCTAGAAACCGTTTGGACTGGAAGATGTCCGCGTACGCTATCATTGTCATTTGACCGGTCGTTATACAGGTCCCGCGCATTCAAATTGCAATGTAAATTGTAAGGAATTGTACGTCATTTCTATATTTTTTTACAACATGTTACGACGCGCATTATATTATCAGAGACGTGGCTAACGCCTTTCCTGGCAGCATCAAATTGCTATCGTTGACGAAGGAAACGTACATCTCTTTCACGAAGAATATCGAAGATGCGTCGAACAAGGAGGATGGTTCGCGCGCGGGAGACGCGTGAAATTGCGCTTCGTGGATTCCTTCAAATTACTAGGCGCGAGTCTCGCAAAATTGGTATCGACAAGAGTGAGTTAACGATTGCATGTTTAGAATTTTCCGATCTCGATGATGCAGATTTCGAGCTCCTTACGCGAAAAGGTGTATTTCCGTATGAGTACGTCGACAGCACCGATAAGTTGCGGGAGACTTGTTTACCACCGTGTGAATCATTATATAGCTCACCGACCGGTGATATCATGTCCAGCGCACGCGATAAAAGTCTGGGAGCGGTTTCATATCTGGACATTGGAAAATTATAGCGATCTATATTTGAAAACTGATGTTCTTTTATTGGCCGATGTGTTCGAAAATTATCGCGACGCGTGTACGAGGAGTTACGATTTGGATCCCGCGCATTATAACACGTTACCTAGATATACGTGAGATGCTATGTTAAAGCATACGGGCATTCGATTCGAACTGTTAACCGATATTGATATGGTGATGTTCGTGGAACGCGGAATACGCGGCGGATTAAGTCAATGTTCCAATAGATACGCGCGCGCTAATAACAAGTATATACAGTCGTATGATCCTTTGGAATTGTCGTTGTATCTCATGTATTTCGACGTAAATAATTTGTACGGATGGGCGATGTGTCAATCGTTACTTTACGCAAATTTTCAATGGGTTGATGATGTTACAAGTATCGACGTAATGTCTGTGATGCCCGATTCACCTATCGGTTACATTCTAGAAATCGACCTTGCGTATCCGCCCGGCCTTCATGACGTTCATGCAGATTTGCCGTTCTGTCCGACGTGTGATAAGCCTCCCGGAAAACGACAGAACAGACTCCTCGCCACTCGAGGAGGCTTCCATTCATACTGGTGGTGAGTCAAGACTCATCGCTGAGCGGCTACGGGCGCCAATTTTCAATCGTTATGATTTGGACCGCTCTGGAGACGTGCTGGGGATTTCGTCTCTCCGTGACAATCGGCACTGCATCCATCGCTCTGGAGTCGTATGTACTGTGTTAAAGTGGCGTAAGGTGTGAGGTCTGAATAGCTCAGTGGTAAGAGCAGTTGCCCGGAAAGCGAAAGACTCGGGTTCGATTCCCGATTCAGCCACTTGTACCTCGCATATTTTTTCAGACCCGTAAATGTTGTTTTCTAACAATTATTTGTCGGGCTGAGGAAGTGTGTAAACGCCCTACACAGACACGACAGTGCCGCTGCCACGGAAGAGATGGATGCTTGGTTCGTGCCTCCTCCCGCCTTAAATCGCCACTGTGCGATAAGCGCCGTTACGTGACGTATTATTGTAATCTACAGCAATGCGTTCGACACGGATTACGCGTTACATCGAATACTACGATTCGCACAATCTCCGTAGCTACGCGGATACATCGAACTGAATACGCGACTACGAACTCGGGCGAAAAACGAGTTCGAGAAAAATCTATACAAATTGATGAATAATGTCGTGTTCTGCAAGACCATGGAGAACGTTCCTGATCATTCGGACGTTCAACTCGTAACTCGAAAGGACGGACGATATGACGCGGAGACGATGATCGCGAAACCGAACTTTCACAGCAGAAGCGTCTTCGCGGAAGATCTCATAGCCGTAGAATTGGGTAAACTCGAGGTAAAGTTTGACAAACCGATTTATGCGGGTATGTGCATTCTCGATGTGTCTAAGATTCGTTTGTATGAATTTCACTACAAATATATGTTTCCGTTGTATCAGGACAAGTGTAGAGTAATGTATACCGATACGGACAGTCTTATTTATTGCGTCGAGTGTGAGGACGCATACAAGGATATGAAGCATGACATCGATAAACTCGACACGGATGATTACACGACAGACAACACATACGATATGCCGCTCGCTAATAAGAAAGTGCCGGGTTTGATGAAAGACGAAAACAACGGCACGATCATGACAGAATTTGTCGGGCTCAAAGCGCAGATGTACGCACTACGAGTTAACGGCAGGAGCGACACGAAGAAAATCAAAGGCGTCAAGAGTGGCGTCATCGCGAGAACGATAACATACGACGATTACGAGTGCTGTCTGCGACGAGAGATCGAGATGACGTGCAAGCAATCCTGCATAAGATCCAAGTTACACGAGATGTACATGGTCTCGGAGTCGAAGGTCGCATTCAATCCACACGACAACAAGCGATTCGTTATACCTGGAACGACGGATACTTTATCATGGGGGCATTATAAAATACCGCTGTAAGGAGCAAGAAATGTCATATATTATATCAAGAATTGTAATAAGCTTTATTTTCTAATCGATAAATATAATTTATTTTATAAATAATAACATAGTTTATTTTATAAATAACAGCTTATGCAATAATATACATTTT